TGTTCTCCAAAGGCTGACAGATCTCAGTGAGAGTGATCAGAGCTGGAGAGGTTCTGTACGGAAGTAGCTGAAACCAGACCCAGCAGCGTGCCCAGGTAGGACTGCTCTCTGGGGTCCAGTATCTGCTCGGGCCTCACAGGGTGGACGATGTTGGCAGGCTGTGGGTTGAGGGTGTACTTCTCCAAGAAGGCCAGGTCTGCGGGGGGCTGGTAGCCGGAGCCCTGCGGCTGCTCTGTGGCCTGCGCGTGAGCAACGCCGTGATTTGGGGCGGGGAGAGACGGGGCCCGTCGGACGTCCGAGTCCCCCTGCGCTCCCCCGCCCACGGCCACGGGGGCGCACGCGCTTGTGGAAGAGGAGGGGCTACTCTGTAAGGCCGACTTGGGCTCAGCGTGGAACGTCTTGGAGGGCTCCTCGAAAGAAAGGGAGACCGCTTTGTCCTCGCCGAGGGGCTGCTCGGTGAAGCGGGCGCTGTGCACGTGGTCGACGTGGTACTTGAGCTTGTCTTTTCTTTTAAAGGTGGCACTGCAGTGGGGACAGTTGAACGGTCGAGCGTCTGAGTGAATAACCATGTGCTTTGTCAGGGTTTTCTTGATGCGAAATGTCTGATGGCACTCCGGACATCTGTGCGGTTTCTCACCTGAAACACATAAATATGTTCAGATATTTAAAAAAAAACATTCTGCACATAAAGAGGTCATAGGCTTATATCTTTTGTTACACTACACCTTTATTTTTTTCAATAAAGCCTGATAAATACAAACTACTACCCCTGCCAAACTTCTCCACCTAACCTAAAAGTAACTTAAATGATATTGGTCAGTGTTCACAACCATTTTAAGTAAAACTAAAAGTTTTATTTTTTCATCTTTGCTCTTTGGCTCCCCCTACAGCCTTGGGGTGATATGGCAACTATAAAAACAAGCATGCAACCGTAAAGGAAAGGTGGTGGGCCCCGGAGCGGATGTGTTTCAAAACAATACAGAGCCCCCAACTTTTAAGCTTTAGAGACATCTTTTGTGTGCTTTGAGAAAAGTAGCATGGCGTGTCTTTGTTTTTGTTTGTTTTAAATGAAATCGCTGTGGATCCCACTGTATGAACGTGGCCCTCCGATCTGTGTGGGATAATAGAGACACACGCAAAAAAAAAAGCACTGCCTCCATAAAACTAGTGAGTGTGTAAGAGTGGCTGAACGCACAGCCGACGGTAAGTTTTCTGAAAAAAATCCCTAAGTAATGAAGCCACCCGTGACCCAAAGTCTTAAATAAATCCACAAGTACGACACTGTGCTATCGCTATCAGCTGGTATCACTCAGCAAGGCTCCATGCCCTTAAATGTGAACAAATCATAGTAATTTTTTTCATGCTTAAAAAAACATAAAGAAAGGAAAACTTGGCTAAAAATGTAAGTAGAAGTCCATCCATGTCCTGACAAGCCTTTGATTTGAGATTTCTTTTTGGTTTTTCTAGCTGGATTATGGAAAAAAAAAAAAAAAACACATTTCAATGCAACAGTACTAAGAGAAGCATAAAAAAGAGCCTCATTTTCTGTAAGAGTGACCGTTGTCCTTTTATGCATTCAATGTGGATTCAAGTTGATTTATTCTTTACACAGAATTTGGTATTTTTTTCTTAATATTCGTAACAATGAGAGTGAAATGTGGTGAAAACGTGTTCTCTGCTTACAAGTGTGCTCAAGTGAATGTAGCCGTGCCTTTCCTTACCTGAGTGAGTCCTGAAATGCATTTCTAAGCTGGACTTTCCTTTAAATTCTTTCTTGCAAACCTCACACTGATGCACGGCGGTCTTATACCTACAGTAAAGAATGAGGAGCGAGAACCAGGATCATTGGAAAGTCACAGGAAAACAAAAACAGAAAAAAAAAAGGATGGGGATCCCTTTTTTTTGTTTTTTTTTTTTTTTTTTTAACATACTTCTGCCAAACTTTCTCTCCCAAATGAACGCTTTTGTAGTGGACAGTCAGATGATCGTGGCGCCTGAAGCACTTCCCGCATTCTTCACACTGGTGCGCTTTCTCACCTGCGAAACGAAGCAGGACGAGCTCAGCCGAGGGTGCGATAACTCGCTGGATGTGCGATAAAAGGAGCCCGTGGCTCGAACCAGCCGACGTCTACCTGAGTGGATCTTCTGATGCTTGGTCAGGTGGTCGTGGCGTATGAAGGTTTTCCCGCACTCGTCACACTCGTAGCGCTTGTCGTCGTGGTGGACTCTGAGGTGGAGCCTGCCCGAGGGAAAAAACACAACAAAGCGGGTGACGCTGAATTTCAGACACGAAAACACACGCAGGGCACCCTCGCCCTGATAGCACCCCCCCCCCCCACACACACACACACACCTGTAAGAGCTGCTATGGCGAAAACTTTGGCCGCAAATGCTACAGAGGTGAGGCTTCTCTCCGCTGTGGATCCTCAAGTGCTCCGTGAGCGTGGTCCTGTGGGGAGAAAAAAAATATATATCTCGTGCTAGTCCGGGCAACGCGCTACTGACGACGTGGTTCCCAGCAGCGTTCCTAAATCTACCTTTCGCGAACGGACTTCCCGCACACGAAGCAGGTCCACTTCCTTTTGCCCCCGTGCGTGCACTCGATGTGCCTCTTTTTGTTGCCCGTGTCGTTGAATTGCCGGCCGCAGATCTCACAGGGAAAAGGACCTGGGAACGAGACAAAATCAGCCCCACAGCGCATCGGCCGGCATAAGGAGTGCATCACTTAATACAGGAGGGATCGAACGTCACAGGAGGACTATATTTTAGGCTATGTCCGGAACAAGGCCGCCATCTTGCAAGCCAAAACATAGTTAGTCCCTTTATTTTGGGGGAATTTGGTTGGGTTTTTTTACAATGGGTAAATGGTCTAACGGCATATCAGTGAAGACCAAAATTATCTCAGACATCAATTCCGGCAATCAGATTGTTACCTACACAGAAAGTTGCAACAACAGCTGCGAGCATGGCCTTCAACGCGCGGCTGAAGGAAACAATTCTGGTATTTTCTGACAAGATGCATACATACCACCTTCCCATTGTAAGAAAAACTTGCCTCTCATCCAACAATTCAACTGTATTTCTTTGGCAACTTTATCCAATTCAAACTACACAGTAAATAAAGTTAATCAAACTCAAAAAGCATCCAATTTGTACAAGATGGCATCATGCTGTGGACATAGCCTAAAAGTCAGGTACCCCCCCCCCCCCCCCCCATTTCATGCTCTTGTATTCAGATATGTCCTTTTTCCTGTTACGATCACAGCAGCTGTTACAGTTACAGCTGTAAAAAAATCACCTCAATGCTATAGAGATTCTCGCCGGAATTTTTGATGTGGAAGATGAGGCATTTTCATTGTCTTTCAAATCAAGACATTTCTCACCCAAGTGATACTTTTCTTGGTGCTTCAGCCGGGCAAACCTGGACCTGAAGTATTCCTCACAGAAGGAGCATTTAAAGGGCCGGTCTTGGGTGTGCAGGATCATGTGTTCCTGCAGATGAGGCCTGCGGCTGAAGGTCTTCGAACAGATCTGCTCCGGGAAGTCAGACAGTTACAGGCAGTTCGGAAACCTCTCCGTCTTCATTCTGAGCCCGTCTTTTAAAACTATGCGCTACACAACATATCCCAAACTTTTTTTTAAAAAGCAGTGCTTACGGCGCATTTCCAGCCCTCGCTCTTCCTCTTCCTCTTGGTGAAAAACTCTTGGCTGTGCTCGGGGTGAAACCTGGAAAGAACAGAGGAGGCTTGTGACTCTAAAGCGACACGTAGAAAGATTCAGATCAGGCAAAAAAGTGAAGTTTAGCATCCAAAACTTAGCCCACACTATGACATAGTATCTTACTGTAAATGTTAAAAACATCCAAGTTTATCATCCCAGTCAAAAATGTCTTAGTTTGATGGTTTAGTGTGAAAATGTGGTAGACAAGTCATCACCATTTTTTGCCTATAAAAAAAATATATGTATATATATTTTATCTTTTATTCAAATGAATGTCCAGAATCCTAATACCTCAAGAATGAATTTCTATAACATAGATGAAACAAGTATTTTCTTTTTTTTTTCCATTTGACTACTCTAAAAAGAAACAAAAGAAGAGAATTATATTAAATTCTCATTATATCTGGAAAAGGAAATGTTCAATACTGGATTACGGATGTATATGCAATTTACGTTCAGAAGCTCCGGATGTGCGTTTTGTTTTGTTTTTATATTTGAGCTGGATTTTTTTTTCTGGGCGTTCCCAGAATAGTCTTACCTTCTGACGTGCTTTGCCAAGGTTTTCTTGCTGGCGTGGAGTTTGTTGCAGAACGAACATTTGTGCTCCTTCTTGGGGAAGGGCGCGTCGCTGGCGTGCTTCTTCTTGTGCACGGTCAGGTTGGACTTGGTGGAGTAGCACTGAAGGCAAATGTCGCACTGGAACGGTTTCTCTCCCGTGTGAACTCTGGTGTGACTCTCGTATTTTCCTGGAAAGAAAACAACAAAGGGTGCATCACGCAAAGTAGCACATACCCGTCATCCATCCCATCAGAAAGACGGCTGAGGGCTGGGACCACGTTTACACTGACTGGGGATTCTGTGTACGAGCGTTCAATGCCTACCTGAGCTCAGCTAAAGAGGCCAATGTGTTGCCATTGGCAACAAGCCATGCGGTCAGTATGGCTACATGCAGCCTAATCCAACTACATTTAAAGATCAACCTGATTTATAAAATCAGTAGCTTTATTGGTAAAATTAAATCCACTGTCCCTGAACAGGCGAGAAAATAAATTGTACATTTAAATGGAGATCTTTCGCAGTGGTGCCCACCTGCACGGTCAAAGATCTTGTCGCATTTGGGGCACTGGAGGGTCTTCTTGTTGGCGGTTTGGATGATGACCGGGGCCAAGCCCTCGGGATACGCCGCGCTCTGACTGGAGCCTCCTGCCTCCGGCTCTCCCCCGGCCTGGTCCTCGGCGGTCCTACCCTGCTCGCTTTCGGTCCCGTCTCCATGGCAACCGCCGAGGAGGTTGTCCTGAGCGACGCCGCCAGCGTTCACTTCTCCTCCCCCGCCATCCTCCCCATCCTCGTCCATCGCGTCGGCCGGTTTGGAGGGGTCATTCACATCCAGCTGGGACGTCTGGTTTTCCGCCACCACCTCTGCTGCTACTTCTACTCCGTTTCTGCTTTCCAGACTTGGCGAGGAACTCTCTATCTTTTCCGCAGGATGGACGGTGGCGTGCCTTAAATCATCCCTGTTATACTTGGTAGGCATCCTTATGGTGCGAGCAGATCTCCGTGTGGTAGCACTACACTGACCCCGAGTCTTGGACTGTGTGTGATTGTGAGCTGAACTGTCCTGCCGGGACACTTCGGTGGCCGACCGGCGGTTTAGAGTGAACTCCACATCAGAAGGGACATCCGTGTCCTCCCCTGCCGACAGACTAGAGGCCACCTCCACCTCGGGAGGCCTTCTTGTGTCAGGCGTGCCGTGGGTCACGCCAACGGGGTCGACCTCCCCTCCCTCACTCAAAAGCTTCAACACGTCCATCATGTCCAGGAACCGGGCCGCTTCGGCCAAAGCGGGAAGATCCTTCTCGGCGACGGTGCATTCCGCCGTGTACAAAAAGCCCAGCAGATGCTGAAAGACAGAGTCCTCCACGTGGTCCAGCTTTACGTGCGCCGCCGCCGCCGCCGGGCTCTTGGACAGCTCGGCGTGGAAGTAGCTGCTCCCATGGGCCAGCACGACCCTGTGGGCCCTGTACACTCTCCCGCCCACGGTCACCGACACGTCACAGAGCTTCTGGCCATTGCGGTCGTCGTTCAAAAAGCGGAGGAGGCTGTGACCGAGCTGTGGCATGGTCAGGCGCCTGATCTGTGAGGCCGACTGGACGCTTTCGGAATTTGAAAGCACACAGGAGCCGGGCCCGGTCCACGGGTCCATAGCAGGGTCACTGGCCGGCCTCCCGCGCTTGGGGCGCAGGGCAGCACTGGGTTTTTTCTTCATGGAAGAGTCGACCTGGATGTCTTGTATCACTCCTACAAATGAGAGGGATAAACAATCAGCTTGATTCAACAATCATCTATTTCTTTTATGGGTGAACGACTTGTATAAAGTCTTAAGATGACGCTCATTACAGCACAACGTGGGGAAGAGTTAGAAACGTGCAAGCTGTGAGTTAAAGAGATGCACAATGACTTTTTAAGGCTGGCAATTTCCAACATTTCTTTCCTGCTGTCGCAGGACAGTAAATATTGTGATCAACGCTGATCGCCACAGACAAAAGAGGTCTCGTGGAACTGTTGAAATCAAGCCAGAAGGATGAAAACAATATCTTATTCTGAATCCTTGTAGGGCTTGACAGCTGGATTTGCACGTTCGCTCCCCACCTCAAAGACCCCCAGCATTTGTGCTATGAGTCTGACGGGCCGGGCCCCCTTCCGAGGAGAGTGTTGACAAACGACCGTAAACGTTAGCTTGGAACCTCGGCTCTTTAGTGGCACTAAACAAAAAATGCTCTCACCTGCGAACTCGGGGTCGCTTTTGCAGAATCACTTCCACTTGCGTTGACGAAAAGAAGCGAGGAAAATAAAAGGTGGCATCAGAATTTCCTGACCGTCTGGAACGCCCCACGAGAAATGTAGGACGCCGAAGCCAACGGTCCGTCTATTGGCTGCCGGCACCTTATGTCCCCCTTCGGCGCTCATACGTTGTGGCGTCGACCCAAGTAGATTTTCTTTTCACTGGTTATTCTTTTCAAACCGCTATTTTTGCGTTTTCCGCATGGGAATGTGCTGCGAAACACATATGTTCTGCCACTTGGAGGGCCTTGCTGGCACGAGAGCATCATGGGTAGTGTAGTCTTAACGCTAAAGGCTGTCAGACTGGAGCCTGGAGCTTTCTTCGCTTTTTGAACTGCAGGTCACTTGCTTTACGGAAGCCTACAATGACCAAAAACTGTTTTACGTGTTGTTTCTCATTAAAAAAAAATATAACATGCAACTTACGTAGAAATAAAGCTGTACTTATTTAGTGTTAACATAATGTAATGATCCATTTTCCTATGATCGTGCTTAACATTCAAATAGTAAGCATACATACTTTGCATTAGGAACTCAGTCTTTAAATTCTGCAGTTGAAAAAAGTGGACAGGTCACCAGTCCATCACAGGGCCACACAGAAACAAACAACCACACACACTCATATTGGAAGTGTCCAATTGACCCAACTCGTGTTTTTGGATGGTGGGAGGAAGCTGGCGTACTCTGAGAAAGCCCACACAGATACAAGGAGAACATGCAAACTCCACACAGAGTGCTCCCGGTCCCCCTGAGTACTTGACCCGGGAACCCTCTAGCTGTTAGGCAACAGTGCCCACAACTAAGTGTCCATGTTTTCATATCTGTATTGTAAAATGAATAGTTTGCAAGGACAAAGAGAGATATTCAGTTATATTTTTCTTCATCCATCTGTACATAAAAGAAAATGTGTTTGTGGCTTGTTGGTATAGTTGTATTTGCTCAAATTATCTGCTGGAACAAACCATTTATGATTCTTAAGTAAAACTGTAATCCTAACATGTGATGAAAATATGTAAATCAATGCTAAAGAAGTAGTAAAGAGGTCAAATCGCGATGATGGTCAGAGACGTTTTGCAGAGAAGTTTCCCAAATTAGAACTGTTGGTTTCTGATAGCTACTGCCAAAGGCTGAGTTTGAATCCATTTATCTCAATAAGAATAAAGGTGTAATCTTCAGTTCATATGGGCACGCAGAAGTACATGCTCATTTGTGTTAATATCTATGATTCAAGTAAAAAACAAATAAACAGGAGTTGTTTTCATATGTGGCTCTGCTTCATCATCTGAAAACCACTGTAGACTTCTTCTACCATCACTTATGTAACAGCGTATTAGGGTTCAGTCTGAAAACATGCTTGGAGTTGCTCAAATTAGCCTGCTGGATGCACCCCTCCCTTTCCCAACACGTTTAAGGGGTAAGACATTGTAAGTGCATTAGCTTAATCCTTTCTATCTAGCATGCAGCAATCCATGCACCTCAGTGGACACCTCTGCACGCATTGAGGAGACAAAGGGAGAATGGTGACACACATCTAAGTTTTCTCCACCTGTCCTTGATTTAAAATGAAGATATTGCCTGATAGCTAACTATTCCAGCTACTCGTGAGGGACAATGTTGAGATTCAATGCTTATATGTGGATTTTGGGATTGCTCTATGCAGGTAAGATTTGGATAACGTGTTGTGTTGTATTCAGAGATGAACATGTTTCACAGTTGTTTGAATTTTTTAGTTCTACAGCGGTCATTTCACCTTACCGTCACTGTATTTTGGAGAAGATGCCGAAAATGTGGTTTATAGACAGAAGTGTATGCGTAAGACTAAGCCAAATTAATCCACCAAGCTATCCTGTTTGTTTATGTTTTCTCATCCATTGCATCTTTGCACGCCTATATAATAAGATAGATTGTGATTGTGTCTTCAGGCGCTTTGCACAGCGAGGACGTCAACAGATGTGAGCAACAGCCCTGTCAAAATGGTGGTGTGTGTCAGAACCACGGTGGAGGATTCCAATGTCTTTGCTCCAAGCAGAGCCTGAACGGGCGCCTGTACGGTGGGGAGAACTGTACGGTCGAACTCTCAGGCTGTGACCAAAGCCAGTGTGAGAATGGAGGAGTGTGTTCTCCCCTGTTCATAAACGATCACCACGCTTCCACGTGCATCTGTATCCCAGGGTACGCCGGCTCTAAATGCCAAACTTCCACTGTCTTCTCATTTGAGTCCCGAGGCTACATGTAC